ACTTGCAGAGCTCAGGCAGTGTTGTATTTCGGTGTCAATGTTGACTTTGGTGGAGAGGTGGCTGCCAAGGGAGCGGAAATGGTCAACATTTGCGCACACATGTTGCAGCTCAAGCCTGTTGATTGGGTTCGCTTAGCTAGAATTCAGCACCCTGGACAGTTCCTGGTCTCAGTTAAAGCCATGCAAATCAGTGGGACTTGACAACATGTTGACCCATCATTCCTCAGGCTCATTGTTTACCATAGGCTATGCAGCAGGATTCTAGATCTGGATAGATAAATAGATAGACACACACACACACAACAGATTCTAAGTTAACTGGCATGCATGAGGATTGCTAGGTGACAGACAAATGTTGTTTCTTGTTGCTTAAGAGAGATATTAGTAAAAATATACCTAATTAATACTATACTCCATGCTCTACTGTACCATAAGACAGACAGATAGATAGATAGATAGATAGATAGATAGATAGATGGATGGATGGATGGATGGATGGATGGATGGATGGATGGATGGATGGATGGATAGATAGATAGAAAGATAGATAGATCAACCCCTGTACAGTGGAACTCGCTGCTGTCTTGGAGCCTGGTGGAGTCTCTTTCTCTGGAGGCTCCGTAGCAGAGGCAGGATGTCCATCTCTTAGAAGGGCTTGGATTGTGTCTTCCTATTTGGAAGAATGGGGTTGTACTGGATGGCCTTTGGGGGTCCCTTCCAACTTTAGTGGCACATACATGGCCTGGAAGTAGGTTCTCCTTCTCTGGCCGAAGTTGGATGCCTCTCTGTTGGAAGGGCTTTGATTGTGTCCTCTTGTGTTGCAAAATCATAGAATCCTAGAGTTGAAAGAGACCCAGAAAGCCTTCTAATCTAACACTATTCTTTCGGAGAAGGAAGGGAATAGGAGAAGGAAGCAGCAGCAGCAATAGGGCAAAGTAATTATAATAATAGAAGATGTAAAATTGCATAATAATAATAATAATAATAATAATAATAATAATAATAATAAGGAAGGTCTGATTCTGGCAGTCCAAGAACAAGCCATTCGAACCAATGCCATCAAAGCAAGAAATTGAAAAGTCAATGACAGATCCCAAATGTAGACTCTGCAAGGAAGCAGGTGAAACAACGGATCCCATCCTCAGTTGCTGCAAGAAGATCGCGCAGACAGACTCCAAGCAGAGGCACAACACCCTTGCTCAAATGATTCATTGGAACTTGTGCCACAAACACCATCTGCCTGTGACAAAGAACTGGTGGGATCACAAGGCGGAAAAAGTTACAGAGAATGAACACGCCAAACTCCTCTGGGACTTCTGGATTCAGACAGACAGAGTTTGGGAGCATAATACACGATCGTGTTAAAAAACAAAGTATGGATCGTTGATGTCGCAATCCCAGGCAACAGCAGGATTGCAGAGAAGGAACTGGAAAAGCTGACACAATATGAGGATTTAAAGATCGAACTGCAAAGACTCTGGCACAAGCCAGTAAAGGTGGTCCCAGTGGTGATCGGCACACTGGGTGCAGTGCATAAAGACCTTGGCCTGCACTTAAACACAATCAGCGCTGACAAGATTACCACCTGCCAACTGCAAAAGGCCACCTTACCGGGCTCTGCACGCATTATTCGCCGATACATCACATAGTCCGAGACACTTGGGAAGGGTCCGACGTGTGATCCAATTCAACAGCCAGCAGAGTGATCTTGTCTGCTGTGGACTCATCTTGTTGTGTTTATAATAATAATAATAACACCAACAACAACAACTTGGGAAGTGTCCGACGTGTGATCCAATACAACAGGCAACAGAGTGTCTGCTGTGGACTCATCTTGTTGTGTTTCAAATAATAATAATAATAATAATAATAATAATAATAATAATAATAATAATAATAATAATAATAATAATAATAATAATAATGCAAGAGGGTGAAAAGTAATCATTGCACTGCAAGAGGGCAACTGGTCCCAGTATGAGATGCCAAATAATGCCCAGCATGGAGGGCCAGGAGTGCCATCTAGTGGGGAAAGGAGGCAAAGCACTGCCTTGACTTTAGAATGCACCCCCACTATAGAATTAATGCAGTTTGACCCCACGTCCTTTCATTGCCATGGCCCAATGCTATAAAAACGTTGTGAGTTGTAGTTTAGGGATGCATTGACTGGTGGCGCAGTGGATTAAACCTCTGAGCTGCTGAACTTGCTGACCAAAAGGTCGCAGGTTCGAATCCGGGGAGCGGGGTGAGCTCCCGCTGTTAGCCCCAGCTTCTGCCAACCCAGCAGTTCAAAAACATGCAAATGTGAGTATATCAATAGGTACTGCTTCACTGGGAAGGTAAGGGCACTCCATACAGTCATGCTGGCCACATTACGTTGGAGGTGTCTACGGACAACGCAGACTTTTCAGTTTAGAAATGGAGATGAGCACCCCCAGAGTTGGACTCAACTAGCCTTAATGTCAAAGGGAAACTTTTACTACTTTGCTAGAAATTTTTTTTTGGTAGAGAAAACCTTGCAAAACTACAACTCCAAGGCTTCCATCGCATTCATAGAATCATAGAATCCCAGAGTTGGAAGAGACCTCGTGGGCCATCCAGTCCAACCCCATTCTGCAAAGAAGCAAGAAAATTGCATTCAAAGCACCCCTGACAGATGGCCATCCAGCCTCTGTTTAAAAGCTTCCAAAGAAGGAGCCTCCACCACACTCCGGGGCAGAGAGTTCCACTGCTGAACAGCTCTCACAGTCAGGAAGTTCTTCCTCATGTTCAGATGGAATCTCCTCTCTTGTAGTTTGAAGCCATTGTTCCTCGTCCTAATCTCCATGGAAGCAGAAAACAAGCTTGCTCCCTCCTCCTCCCTGTGGCTTCCTCTCACATATTTATACATGGCCCTCATGTCTCCTCTCAGCCTTCTCTTCTTCAGGCTAAACATGCCCAGCTCCTTAAGCCGCTCCTCATAGGGCTTGTTCTCCAGACCCTTGATCATTTGAGTCGCCCTCCTCTGGACACATTCCAGCTTGTCAATATCTCTCTTGAATTGTAGTTCTCAGAATTGGACACAATATTCCAGATGTGGTCTAACCAAAACAGAATAGAGGGGTAGCATTACTTCCCTGGACCTAGACACTAGGCTCCTATTGATGCAGGCCAAAATCCCATTGAGTCATGTGAGATGAAACCACATTAAGTCCATAATGTAGATGCTCCCTTTCAGAAGCAAAGCTCTCTTTGGAGAAAAGGAAACAACTTTGAAGAAAAGTATGTGGGGTTTTTTTTATTATAGAGATAGATAAATAAAGGAAGGCAGGCTTTGTTCCTTCTGTCTTCGACTTTCCCAAAGGGGAGACTTTGACGGACTTTGCAATACCTGTTTCAAAATAAAAAGCAATATGATGTCAGTGGGGAACAGGACCCCATAAAAATGGGGGAAACACAAATATTAAACCTTTTCGCAAATCCAGAAAGTATAACCAGAGCATGTGTCAGCAGCGGAAGCATGCAAACAGCTGAGGTGGCTTCACATGGTGCTACTTGACTTCGGAATCAGTGAGCCAACACCAATAGAAGTCTTTGAAGACAATCATGGTTGTCTAAAATATTCCCAAACAGTGAAGATCAGCCCATTTGTCAGGAGTCAATTTCTGACAGCATAAAGACATCACAAATTCCCTCCGTGACATCCTGACTGAATCATCCTGGCTGAATCAATTCTCTCTGTGTGACATTTTGAAGCCAGCAAAGGGCGCTGGAAGCCTTGTATTGGAACTTGTGAAGCAACCAGTTCTAATAAGGAAACTGAGAAGAGGGGGGAGATGGGCAGGAAAAGTGTATAAAAGGAAGTGGTGGTGGGAAAAAGTCAGTAGGGTCTTCCTTTGCTGCAGAGATACAAGCAATATATCCATTTCAAAGCAAAAACGGCTTGTGAGTGGTTATTTAATATTGCTATATAGATCCTACAGTCTTACGCCATTGCTCAAACTGTGTATACAAAATACCATATTGTGAAGAACGCACATGAAGAGTTATGAGACTGGAACACTGCAAATCAGAAGATATGATTGCAGACATCCTGACGAAGCCGCTATCCAGACAAGCTGGAGAAGATGTTGAACCTGATAGACTTGAGCAGTCCTGGCTGAAGAAGAGGATTTTTGGGTTTCATCCCTGGACTGCACAAATCTCCAGTCCTCAATGAGTAGCTAGACTAGATAGGATTAGAGTGAACGTTTCCTCCCCTCACATTCTTATGCATGCTTATCCCAAAAGGAGCTCTGTCTTTACGATTTTATGCTGACGACTTGGCCTTATGTAATTATATGATTTATTTTAATGTTTTAGTACATTATGTGATGTGATGTTTTTAACCATTGCTATGATGTTGTTGTTGTGAACCAGCCTGAGTCCCTCTGTGGAGGTTGAGAAGACCGGTATACAAAAGATCTAAATAAATAAATAAATACTCTTCTTCTCCCCCCTTTGAGGATACAGCAATGTAATGTCTGTGAAGGATGAGGTAACTTCCTCTTTAAAGGTATTTTGATTGCCCTTGGTTTGGCCATGTGGTCATTCTCCATTTTGGCCTTTTCCTCTTCTGCCTTTGCCTTCCTTTGAGTGAGGACGCATTTTGCCTTTCTCCAGACAAAATGTAGCTGCATGGATACTTTTGTTATTTTTATCCTTTTACCTTCCTTAGACAGTAGCTTAGTAAGCTAGTGAACTCTAAGACTCTTTTCTATCTAGAATTGATTTCTTTTTACTTCAATAAATATATTTTTGGAACTTAAAGTTGGGACTCTGCAATCCTGATCCATCCTCTTGAATGAGAGCCAATCCTATCTCACCACACGTAAGTTTCTCCTGGTTATGAACCGTGCTTCTGGCACTCTGCTATATTTTGTGGACTCATCCCAAGTGAGGGTTATTTTGAGCCTAACAGCTCCGATTCATTTTTAAACCTAAGAGAAGACCTCCCTAAGAATCTCTAGATGCATCCACCTTCAGACGCTGACGTTGTCGGTGTTTTCGACTTCCTCCTCCTCCTCCTTGGTGGGCGCTGTGTGGCGGATGACGTGCCGCGTGGAGACATCCTGGTAGTCAAAGTAGTTCAGGTTCAGGTTGCGGGCAATGCGACGCCCCAGATTGTCCAGTATCTGAGGGAGGGATGGAGGGACAGGTGGAAGGACAGGTGAGTGGAAACACAAGGAGACAAATAGATAAAGGATGGATGGACAGATGAGCACATGGACAGGTGGATGGATCAACAAAGGTGAATAGATAGACGGATTGATGGACAAATTAAAGGATGGGTGGACAAATAGATGGATCAATGGATGGATGAGCACATGGATAGATGGATATATGGATGGATCGACAGACAGATGAATAGATAGAAGGATGGGTGGACAGATGGATTGATGGGCACATGGATAGATGGATGGATCAACAAACATGAATAAATAGAAGGACATATGGACAAATGAAAGAATGGGTGGACAAGTAGATGGACTGATAGATGAATGGATGGATGAGAGGTTAGATGTATGGATGAATAAATAGATGGATGGATAGATGGATGGGTGGACAAATAAATGGATGGATGGATAGACGGATGATAGATGGATGGACAGATGGACAGACAAATGGATGGATGGATAGATCAATAGATGGACAGATACATGGTTGAGAGGATGGATGAATGGACACATGGATAGATAAATATATGGATGGATCAACAGACAGATCAATAGACAGAAGGATCGATGGGGAGATGCATGGATGGATGGATGGATGGATGGATGGGTGAGCATATGGATAGTTTGATGGACACAGATGAATAAATAGAAAGATGGACACACAAATGAAAGGATGGGAGGACAAATAGATGAATTGATGGATGGGCAGACAGATGAATGAGAGATAAAGTTAGGGAGGAACAGAAGTATGGATGGATGGATGGTTGGATGGATAGACAGACAGACAAACATGGATGGATGGATGGATGGATGGATGGATGGATGGATGGGCGGATGGACGAAGGGACGGACCAATAAATGGTTGAGAGGATGGATGGATGGATGGATGGATGGATGGATGGATGGATGAATGGATAGATGGATGGATGGACAAGTGGATGGATGAATGGACACATGGATAGATAAATATATGGATGAATCAGCAGATGAATAAATAGATAGAAGGGTCAATGGGGAGATGGGTGGATGGATAGGCGGATGAACATATGGATAGATTGATAGATAGACACAGATGAATAAATAGAAAGATGGATGCACAAATTAAAGGATGGATGGACAAATAGATGAATAAGTAGATGGGCAGACAGATGGATTAGAGGTTAAAGGTAGGGATGAACAGGAGGATGGATGGACAACATGGATGGATAGATGGATAGACGGATGGACAGATGGACAGACAAATGGATGGATGAATGGATGGACAGATAAATGGTTGAGAGGACGGATGGATGGATAGATGGACAAGTGGATGGATGAATGGGCACATGGATAGATGAATATATGGATAGATCAACACAAAGATTTAATAGATAGAAGGATTGATGGGGAGATGGGTGGAAGGATGGGCGGATGAGCATATGAATAGATTGATAGACACAGATGAATAAACAGAAAGATGGACACACAAATTAAAGGATGGGAGGACAAATAGATGAATCAATGGATGGTGTTGTGGTTCAGCAACAGCATGATGGACATGATGGGACTGAGAGTGCAAGTGGGCATGATGGGAATGGGAATACAGATGCAGGTGTGAGATTTCAGATTTCTCAGTTTTCTCAGCCACAGTCTGTAGCTAGAGAGAATCCCTTGTTCTCAAGGGAAAGGAATGTGGCTGATAACACACTCGGTGAAGGTCAGCGCGAGCTGCAGGTGTTAAGAGAAAATCCCTTGTTCTCAAGGGAAAGGAATGTGGCTGATAACACACTCGGTGAAGGTCAGCGCGAGCTGCAGGTGTTAAGGAGAAGTTTACGGATTGCGGCCAAATCTTGAGGCCATCTGCTGGTGGGAAAACTGCTCGTTAGCTGTTCTGTTTAATGTTCAATGTTTTGATGATTTTCCTATAAGAAGACTGCTTGAAAGCTGATTCAGTGTCAGATCCAACTTTGCAATATGGATTGCTGTACCTTTGGCTCTAGGGCTTGGGCCTTGGGGTTTGTTTGCTTCATTTTCCTATAAGAGGACTGCTTGAAAGCTGATTCAGTGTCAGATCCAACTTTGCAATATGGATTGCTGTACCTTTGGCTCTAGGGCTTGGGCCTTGGGGTTCATTTGCTTCCTGTAACTTCATGCTATTGCCTGGATTGTATCCTGCTTCTTTGCCTCAATTTTCCTGCTTTGAATCAACAGAACTTATGAGACCTATATTTTGTACTATTGAACTTTTTACTGCTTTTACTTGGATTTGTTTGAAACTTCAATAAACTTCTTTCTTCTCAAGTTTGGCTGGTTTGTCAGAGAGCAAGGTGAAGCTTAACCTGAGACGCAACAGATGGGTAGACAGGTGGATGAGAGATTAAAGACAGGGATGAACAGAAGAATGGATGGATGGATGGATGGATGGATGGATGGATGGATGGAGGGATGGATGGATGGATAGATGGACAGACACATATGGAATGGATGGATGGACAAATTGATAGATGGATGGATGGATGCGCACATGGATGAAAGGTTAGATGTATGGTTGAACAAATGAATTAATGGATGGATGGACAGATGGATAGATGGATAGATGGAGGGATGGATGGATGGATGGATGGATAAATGAATGGTCAAATGGATGGATCAGTGGATGAATGGGTAGACAGATAGACACATGGATGAACAGATGAACAGGCAAACAAATGGAGGGACACATGTGACAAATGAATGGTCAGATAGACAAACCAATGAACAGGCAGTCAACCAGCCAGCCAGATGTATAGACAGACAACAGGATGGATGGGTAGATGGAGGCCAAAGACAGGGAACAGGGTTGCTCAGGTTGACTTAACATCCAAAAGGACAACACAAGACATCTCCATGGGAGGTGAGAGCACGTCCTGTGTGGTATATGTGTGTATCAGTGTGGGATTAAATATGGCAGCCATTTAGCCCATTGCCCCAGGAAGTCTGCTCGGTGTCTTACTTGTGTGTAAGTTTCCCTAGGGGAACACTGGGATCCTGGCTGCAGAATGGCTACATTCAATTGCAGAACTGGAGTTTTAGATACAAAAAATGTGTGTCTCTTCACCTCGTATTTCTCCGACAGGTCCGACAAGGTGAGCACCTCCAAATGATATCCATTGATGATCAGGCTGTAGAACAGTTTTCCATAAGCTGGAATGAGGAGGGAGATAGGCCAGGATTTAATTAAGACTTTACTCATTTAATTGGGGTTCTTGAAAGTTGTAGATAGGCACTTTAAAGGCCTCTGAATATGGCATTGTTTGGGATTGCTATAGGTGAGCATTGCTGCTGGCAGAATGTGGTTGGACTACATGACCCTTGGGGAACCCTTCCAACCCTAAGATTCCAGGATAGATAGATACATGGGGCCATGGCCTCTCCATCTTTCAGGCCTTAAACATGGGCATCTTTTCATAGTGCTAGAATTGAACATTGCTTCCTGGCAGAATGAGGTTGGACTAGATGACCCTTGGTGGTTCCTTCCAATACTAAGATGGATTGATAAAGATAGAAGGGGGCATGGACTCTCCATCTACATGGGGATCTTTTGGGAGTTCTAGGGTTGAACATTGTTTCCTTGCAGAATGAGGGTCCATGTTCTCTCCATCTTTGGAGGCCTTTGAACACAGGCATTGTTTGGGAGTGCCACAGGTGAGAATTGCTTCTTGGAAGAATGAAGTTGGACTAGATGACCCTTGGGGATCCCTTCCAATGCTAAGATTCCAGGAGTGTGATTGATGGATGGATAGATAGATAGATAGATAGATACGTAGACACGTAGATACATAGATACATAGGGTCATGGACTCTCCCTCTTTGATGGCTTTTGGGTATCTTTTGGGAGTGTCATAGGTGAACAATGCTTCCTGGCAGAATGAGGTTGGACTAGATGACCCTTGGGGTCCCTTCCAATGCTAAGATTCATAGCATGGGATAGATAGATAGATAGATAGATAGATAGATAGATAGATAGATAGATAGATAGATAGATAGAAGGGGCCATGGAGTCTCCATCTTTGAAGACATTTGAACATGGGCATCTTTTGGGAATGCTATAGGTGAACATTGCTTCCTGGACTAATGAGGTTGGGTTACCCTTGGTGGTCCCTTCCAATTCTAAGATGGATTGATAAAGATAGAAGGAAGCATGGACTCTCCATCTACACAGGGATCTTTTGGGAGTTCTAGGGTTGAACATTGCTTGGATGGATTAGATGACCCTTGAGGATCCCTTCCAATGCTAAGATGCCAGGAGTGCGATTGATGGATGGATGGACACATAGATAGGGTCATGGACTCTCCCTCTTTGATGGCCTTTGAACATGCGTATCTTTTGGGAGTGTCATAGGTGAACAAGTGTCATAGGTGTCCTGGCAGAATGAGGCTGGACTAGATGACCCTTGGGGGTGCCTTCCAATGCTAAGATTCAAAGCATGGGATGGATGGATGGATGGATGGATAGAAGGGGCCATGGAGTCTCCATCTTTGAAGACATTTGGACATGGGCATCTTTTGGGAATGCTATAGGTGAGCATTGCTTCCTGGACTAATGAGGTTGGGCTAGATGGCCTTTGGGGACCCCTTCCAACCCTAGGGTTCTACGCCTTCTGTGCTTCCCTCCCCGCCGGGCCCCATTACCATCCCTCTGGGCCACGATTCGGACGTAGATCTGGTGCAAGGGCCCCTCGTGCCACAAGATGCCCTTGATGTAGAACTGGTAGAAGTCCTTGGCGTGGTTGATGATCAGCCGCCGCTTGTTCATGTTGCTGGCGATGAGCCACAGGCCGGTCACCATGGCATAGAAAAAAAGGACTGAGAAGTCCTGGGAGCCCTGTGAATCAGGGGGTCAAGCCAGACAGGTGAAGGGCATCAGAACAACACACCTAGCCGGGAACCAGGTGCGTTTTGGATGCTGGATTTTGTAATGTGTCTATATTTGAATACATACATACCAGGGCCGTAGCCAGAAAAAAAATTCGGGAGGGGTTGACATTTTTTGGTGGGGATTGAAAATTTTGCGGGGGGGGGGGGGGGTTGAAACCTGCCTCCTAGCTCACGCTGAAGCAAAGAGCACAGCAGGGGGCAGAGCAGCCTTCAATAGCCTGCAGCTCCGCCCTTGTCAACCACCTCCACCAAGTCTGGCCTCCTTAATGAGAGCATTCAACATCCCCCCCCCCCCAACTTGGTTGCTTCACTACTGTTCTGTCGCGCGCTGGGCCTGTAAATAATTGTCTTTAGAACAGGATGTGCAACCTTTGCCCAGCAGGAAGCCAGGGGGCCCAAGGAGAAGTTCTCAGAGGTTTCCACCACAAACAGTCTTTAGATGGCTTGAGAAGTACAACAAAGTCTTTTATTAATGAACAATCAAAGAGAAACTTCTCTTGTCTTCAGTAAAGTTAAGCAAATGATTCCAAGCTTTTAGGCAACTGGTGGCTTCCTAATCTTGCCCACGAAGGACAGGCAACTGTCTTCAATAACTTCTTCTTTAAAGGAAAATCCCCTTTTTAACTTCTCCCAGGCTGACTGTAATCTAACCCTTACTGATGTGGGCTCCACTACTGGGTTGAACTGCGTCTCCAACGCTGAGTGGACCTACCAGCAAGGCAGTAGATGTTCTCCAGCTGGAGTTCTTTGGTCTTTAGGGCTGTTTTCCTGGAAATTCTTTGGAGACTCTTAAGACCTTTCTCCCCCGGAAGGTCTTAAGGGCTTAAGCTTTTGTACAGGGGAAGCTTGCACACATCCTATACGTAAGCTTACCTTGCTGAGACTAACTAAAAATGGCTCCCTTCCCTTCCCAATTGCCCTGAGCAAGGGGCGGGACCAAAACTTAACAATGATGGACAGGTGACTTGCCCTATGACTGCAACCAAAGAAGCCACCTATCTGCAGAGTCCCTGAAACCTAGGACTGCAAGCAAACATTTAATACAAAGCAAATAAAGTTGGAGCTCCTGGTACAGCTCTACCAGAACAACTACATCGGCTATTGCTGCAAGTAATGACAGTGTGAATAAATTGCTAATATTTGCTTGAGATAGTGCTTGCAGTTCTGGAGGGACTCTTGATTTTTTGCATCTCATAGACTTAGCACGGGGATTTGGTTAACCAGTTAAAATTCATGAGTAAACCAGGTTTTTTTAAAAAATCTGAAACATTTTGGGGGGGGGGGGTTGAACCCCTAACCCCCCCCCCCTCGCTACGGGCCTGATACATACATAAGGCGAGATCTTGGAGAGGGGGCCTACATTGGTATTCATTTCACAGGGATCTCATCCAAATAGGGAATTTCATGCAACATGTTTTTGGGCATGAAGCTAGTTCCAACAGACCTCACTACCTCTGAGGATGCTTGCCATAGATGCAGGTGAAACGTCAGAAGAGAATGCCTCTAGACCATGGCCATATAGCCCGAAAAAACCTACAACAACCCACTGTTTTATCTTGCTGCCTTTGAATGCCTTATTGCTTTTTGGAATCTTCTCTATCTTTACAAGCATTTATTTCTACTGGCTTTTTTTTGCTAAGTTTTAATAAAAGGATTGTTCCTTCACTCAACGTGTGGTGTGTTTATAGTCAGAGGGGCTATTTCCTGTTCTGGAGTGCAACAACGACCAGGGGAGGGAGTGGGAGGTTTGCATAACTGGAAGTCCAAAACACCCGTAGGGCCGAAGTTTGCCCGTGCGTGAGCTACACTGTCGCATTAACACAGTTTGACACCACTTTATCTGCTATGGTTCACTGCTATGGAATCCTGGGGAATGGGGAAGCAGGGAAGAGAAGAAGGGTCCCCAGGATGTGCCAAACCTACCTTTTCAGACCGGAAGTAGAAGACGGTGCCCACCAGTGAGACCACAAAAAGCAGGGCTCCCTTCCAGACCATATCTTTGTAATACTCCATCACAAACACTGCAAGCAAGAGTTGCACAAGGAGGAGAACCGCTTTGCATTTACGTGCTTCTTTGGGGTTTTCTTCGGAAGAGAGCCGGACCAAGGAGTGACTCACCTTTGGGCTGCTGCAGCTGGAAGGGGAAGAACTTGTTCTCCTGGAGCTTCTCCGTGAGTTTCTTCTCCGAATTGAAGTAATTCAGATTCCAGAGAGCGAGAGAACCTTTGAAAGGAGAGACCGGCATCTCGATGGGCCTCCAATCTAGAACAGAGGAGGAGACAGTGGCGGAGGGTACAAAACAGAAGTTGGACGGACATCTGTCAGGAGGGATCGGATTGTGCATTCCTGTCTGGCAAAAGCGGGGTGGACTAGATGACCCTTAGTTGCCCTTTCCAACTCAGAGTCCAGTGGAGTCTCATTCCTTGGAAGGTTTTGGACAGAAGCTGGATGGCCATCTGTTAAAAGAGATTAGATTGTGTCTTTGTGCTTGACAGAAATGGGTTAGACTAGATGACCTTTGACCCCCTTCTGCCTCTATGATTCTAATCCTTTCCTTTGCTCATTATTTTTTTGTGAATTATAATTGAATATAGCCTGGGAAAGAAAGAAAGAAAGAAAGAAAGAAAGAAAGAAAGAAAGAAAGAAAGAAAGACAGAAAGAGGGAGGGAGAGAGAGAGAGAAAGAGAGAAAGGAAGGAAGGAAGGAGGGAAGGAAGGAAGGAAGGAAGGAAGGAAGGAAGGAAGAAGGGGGAGAGGAGAGGAAGGAAGAAGGAAGGAAGGAAGGAAGGAAGGAGGAGAGAAAGAGGAAGGAAGGAAGGAGGGAAAGAGAAGGGAGGGAGGAGGGGAGGAAGGAAGGAAGAGGAACGAAGGAAGGAAGGAAGGAAGGAAGGAAGGAAGGAAGGACAAGAAGGAAGGGAAGGAAGAAAGAGAAGGAGAGGGAGGGAGGAAGGAAGGAAGGAGAAAGAGAAAGGAAGAAAGAGAGAAAGAGGAAGGAGGGAGGGAAGGAGGGAAGAAGGAAGGAGGAGAGAAGGAAGGAAGGAAGGAAGGAAGGAAGAAGAAAGAAAAAAAAAAGGAGGGAGGGAGGGAAGGAAGGAAGGAAGGAAGGAAGGAAGGAAGGAAGGAAGGAAGGAAGGAAGGAAGGAGGAGGAAACACTGAGTGTGGCTGAGGTTGGAGAGTTCTTCTGATCTATAATAATAAAGAGAAAGAAAGGAGAGAAGGGAAGAGAGAAAGAGAAAGGAAGGAAGAGAAAGAGGAAGGAAGGAAGGAAGGAAGGAAGGAAGGAAGGAAGGAAGGGAGAAAGAGAAAGGAAGGAAGGGAGAAAGAGAAAGGAAGGAAGGGAGAAAGGGGAAGGGAGGAAGAGAGAAAGAGGGAGGGAGGGAGAGAAGGGAAGGGAGAAAGAGAAAGGAAGGAAGAACGGAAGGAAGGGAGGGAGAAAGAAAGTGGAAGGAAGGAAGGAAGGAAGGAAGGAAGGAAGGAAGGAAGGAAGGAAGGAAGGAAGGAAGGAAGGAAGAAAGAGGAGGAAGGAAGGAAGGAAGGAGAAAGAGAAGGAAGGAAGGAAGGAAGGAAAGGAAGGAATGGAGGGAGGGAGGGAGGGAGGAAGGAAGGAAGAAGAGAATGAAAGAAAAAAAGAAGGAAGGAAAGAGAAAAGGAAGGAAGGAAGGAAGGAAGGAAGGAAGGAAGGAAGGAAGGAAGAAGGAAGGGAGAAAGAGGGAGGGAGGGAAGAAAGAAGGAAAGAGAAGGAGGGAAGGAAGGAAGGAAGGAAGGAAGGAAGGAAGGAAGGAAGGAAGGAAGGGAGGAAGGGAGGGAGCGAGGAAGAGGAAGGAAGGAAGGAAGGAAGGAAGGGAAGGAAGAGAGAAAGAGAAAGGAAGGAAGGATAACCCAATGGGTATAAATGTAGCACCATTCCAGCATATAAGTTGCTTTTTCACGTTTATTTCACATTTTTTTCTTTCTTTCTTGTACAGTTTCTGAGATAAAAGTAGTGGTAGTTAAAGAGCACATTCTCAGGATTAATAAGTAACGAAGGTGGAGGCATTACTTTTCATTCAACCCTCATAGGTCAGGTTTTTTGACTTAATTTTAAACTATTCCCAATGGACGACCTTTGGGGTTCCCTCCTTGCTCTGTGAATCTATCTTTCTATGATTTTCTGCATGAGAATGCAAAAGAACTAACCCTTCCAAAATCTCCTTGGCTCCTATTAGAAGAAGAGAGTCCAAGCGGTCACTGCAAGGTCCGAAGGGCAGCCAAAGCTTTCAGGAGAGCTGGCCAATAGGCCAATCACACTGGCCAACAACTCCATGGCAACTGCAAGCAACAGAATTCCATCTTTTCACACCATTGGCTTGACTCACGGACCTTGACCTTTGGTCGAGTATGGCAACAAGAACAGTTAGAGAGTTGGGAGGGACCAATTGGGAAACAAGTCGTCCAGGAATACCTGGCCGCTCTAAATGGGTTCAAGTCCCCAGGGCCAGATCAACTACACCCAAGAGTATTGAAGGAACTAGTGGAAGTCATTTCGGAACCATTGGCAACCATCTTTGAGAGTTCTTGGAGAACGGGAGAACTTCCAGCAGACTGGAGGAAGGCCAATGTGGTCCCAATCTTCAAGATGACCCAAACAATGACCAATGTCCAGTCAGCCTCACATTGATACCAGGCAAGATTCTGGAAAAGATTGTTAAGGAAGTGGTAGGTCGCTAATAGTCAACATGGATTTATCCAATACAAGTCATGCCAGACTAATCTGATCTCTTTTTTCGATAGAGTTACAAGCTGGGTAGATGCGGGGAATGCCGTGGATGTAGCGTACCTGGATTTCAGTAAGGCCTTCGACAAGGTCCCCCACGACCTTCTGGCAAGGAAACGAGTCCAATGTGGGCGAGGCAAAACTACGGTGACTTGAACTCATTTAGAGTGGCCAGGTATTCCTGGACAACTTGTTTCCCAATTTGGGGTTGGATGTCCTCAAATCCCTCATCCACTCCATCTTGCTGAGGTTGAAGACGACTTTCTTTTTGTGAGAAGACCGAGGCAAAGAAGGCATTAAGTAGTTCTACCTTTTCCCTGTCCCCTGTCAGCATTGCCCCATCTTCTCCTCGAAGAGGCCCTATCGCCTCCTTGTTTTTCCTTTTTCCACTGACATACGAAAAGAAGCCCTTTTTATTATTTTTAATGTCCCTGGCAAGCCTGAGCTCGTTTTGTGCTTTAGCCTTGCGGACTATAATAAAAATCAACGATAATCTTGGCAGGGGGGACAAACAATCCCACCACTACCACCAATATAATAAAATTAAAGGATATCTCTGGGCGGGGGGAACAACGAATCCCACCTCTGCCACCAGTATAATACAATTTAGAGGCTGACCCTATGTTAAATATGTCAATGACTGATGTTCTTGTTAGGTATGACTGCCACCACCTCAGCTTCTATTGGCCTGAGGAACCAAAGGTGTGAATGTGTGGTGGGTAAGGTGTGTTTGAGCTCTTGGTTCTTCTATTTCTTCTTCACTGGATGACTGGACTTTAAAATGGGTTTGACAGACTTGGTTCTGAGGAGATTGATAGACTGAGGCATACACCAGTTAAAAGTGAACTATGAAAGATTTATTGAACTTGGAACAAATATCACCTCATAGCATGAGGGGTACAGAAGCGTAATTCAGTTGTAGAGACTTAGTTACTTAAACAAGTAGTTCCACTGACAGTAAAGCTTTTATCAACTGTGAGATTCCTTAAACACACTGCTCTATCTTTAGAAACAGTAACACTTGGAGAACAGATCCCTATCTGTCTCTCCCACAGGGCAAATAAGCACTCTTATACTTTTCCTCAGTATAAACAGACAAGTCTTTCTGTTACTGATCCTATCAATACAGTAACCTTAGCCCTTGTCTGCTGCTTATTCCCTATTCTAAAGGCTCACTTAAAACTTTCTTTCCCTGTCAGATTCCTACTGTAGCTTCCTATCTTAACATTTCATCCTTCTGTGTCTGATGTCAAGACACTTCTCTCTCTCTGTCAAGAGCTGACAGCTTATTTCCCTCTCTCCACCGACTCCTCCCCCAATTGCTATACCCAATCAGGAGTCGGCTTGACTCCTCCTCCTGTCTCTGCCTGCCTTCCAAGATGACAGCTACTGTCATGCAGGCTTCGGCCTTGTCGTCTTAAAGGTAGATTCCACTACACGGACCTTTTCCCTACAGGTGTTGGCTATTTGTTTGAATTCTTCTTTGGTGATTTCTCCCTTTTCCACTTCTTGTGCATGTCTCTTTTGTGTGTTAGCACAGTTAGAAGTTCTTTGGACATCCATTCTGGCTTCTTTGCACTTGTCCTATTTTTTCTCTTTGTTGGCACAGTTTGCAATTGCGCCTTGAGTATTTCACTCTTGAGAAATTCCCATCCATCCATAACTCCCTTGTCTTTTAGTATCTGTGTCCACGGAATGCTGCTCAGTGTTTCCTTCATTTTTTGGAAATCAGCTCTCCTAAAGTCCAAAATGCGGGTTTGACTTGTCTTAGTTTCGGCCTTCCTTTGTACCTCAAATTGCAGGAGCACATGGTCACTTGTCCCTAAGGATCCGACCACTTCAAATGCATCGATCACATCCTCCGCATTTGTTAGGATGAGATCAAGAGTAGCCAACCCCCTTGTTGCCTCTTCTACCTTCTGGACCATGAAATTGTCTGCAAGGCAAGCGAGGAATTTGTTGGACCTTGTACTCTTGGCCGAGTTTGTTTTCCAGCAAATATCGGGATAGTTGAAATCGCCCATGAGTACTACATCTCTTCTCTGTGCCTGTATATAAATAAAGGTATTATTATTATTATTATTATTATTATTATTAATTACTTATTTATTATGTTCTATTCATTCTCTCCAACTGAGACCCAGAGACAGGAAGTGATGCACCCAGAAGTGAAAAACCCTTTTATTCTGGTAGAGTTTGCATGTACAAACAATTAGAAAAAAGACAACGGAAACAAAAGTACAAAACGAGAGGGAAGAGGGCCCAGCGTCCTTCACACCAAACCCTTCTTTCCTCAAATATATTACAAGGGAATGGGCTGTCCGTGGTCCTGCATGGGGTCAGGCACCCTGCCCAACAGGCCCCTCTTGGAGTGGTCAGCGAATGAAGCTGTCCAAAGTTAAGAGGGACCACTCTGAGCCTCTGGAACGACTTTATGTGGTGCTGCCCAGTCCGGCGGACGCCTCTGAGCTGCTCAAGAGCTGGTGCAAGCAGTGGCGGATCTCCTCTTGGCCCCGGTAGGCCTTCTTCATCCCGCGGGGCAAATGGCGGCAGGAGGAGAGGTTGAGCGAGCGCAGGGACGGGCAGCTGGCGATCAGGGAGCTGTTGGTCAAGCAGGAAGGAATGGGGTCAGTTCAAAAAAAGGGAGGGAATATATTCAACCATCAAACACCTCTAACCATCAGAAACACCTCTAACCATGCTCTGACCTATAAGAAGCACTGCCTGAACATCAAGCAAAAAGTGGGCGCTAGAAACAATATCATACGAAAGCTGACTGGCACAACCTGGGGATCACAACCAGACACAGTGAAGACATCTGCCCTTGCGCTATGCTACTCTGCTGCAGACACTCTGGTGGCTGTTGTATTGGATCACACGTCGGACACTTCCCAAGTGCCTAGGACTGTGTGATGTGTTGTTGTTGTTGTTATTATTATTATTTGAAACACAACAAGATGAGTCCACAGCAAACACTTTGCTGGCTGTTGTATTGGATCACACGTCAGACCCTTCCCAAGTGCCTAGGACTGTGTGGACACAAGGCTATTGTTCCAGGTATAGAGGTCTGACCAAAGCAGAAGACAGTGGGACTACGACTTCCCTCAAATCTTGACATTTGACTGCTCTTGATGCAGCCTAGAATTGACTCGGTTTTTTTTGCCGCTGCATTATGCTGTTGGCCAGAGCTCCCCGCACGAAACTCACCTGACGGTGTTGAGGGTGACCTTGGTGCCCGTGAGGCTGAGTGAGCGCAGGACTGGTTCCCCTTCCGCTCCGGGCTTCTGGCCAAAGGCTGCCATGGCCTCCTCCAGGTCGGCCTCGCTGAAGCTCTGCCCGGTCAGGTCCAGCTCCCGCAGGCTGTGGTTCCACTTCCAGGTGATGAGAGGGCAGCCCTCGAGCGGCAGGTGGAGGTGGATAGCGCTGCAGTAGAGGCCCAGGTAGAGCTGCTCTAGGTCTGAAGGAGACACCTGGGGTTAGGACACGCATGGGCAAACTTAAACCTTCCATATGCTCTTCAAAGCTATATATATATATTTGACAGGACTTAAATAATGTCCCTTTTCTGAATTACATACAAATTCCAATTAAGAAAAAAACTTGGAAACCCATCTTGTTCGTAACTCGGGGAACGCCTGTACAGCTATTTTACAAACCAGTACGTGGTGTCTGTGTGTCTACTTCTTTCTCCGGAAGTGCCTGATGCTGTTGTAGTTCATCCCATTATTATGCCTGCTTCTAATGTCAACGAGGAAGTGGATCATGGGGTTCCTGGGCCCGCAAGTCAGCATGAGATTTTAAGTCCTGAAACGGAGCAGTCTGTGTCTACAGCAGCGAGTGAAAGCCACTGTAATGATTCTTACCTTGTAGGCCGAAAGAGAAGCCTGGAATATTAGTAGGCAGGACTCCATTTTGGGAGGGTTAGCAAAGGAAGCAGACATCTTGAGAAGGTAAAGTGAGAAGAGGGGAGGAGCTGGAGCTCTCTTAGGATTGGTTAGGACAGATGGGAGGAGGTTACTCCTGAGAGGGAAAGGTGTCAGCTTCACAGAAAGAGAGAGATTGATTTTGGGAACAGAAGAGAAGAGAGGTTGTAAAGGTGCGTAAAATTACTGCCACCTAATCTGTGAGGAAGCCCAGTAGTTCTCAGCATCAACTTAGGAGCTGTTTTACAAAGAAGGATTTACTTATTTGATAGCGTAGCGTTTACTGTCCCTGGTTTGGTTTTACTTCTTATGCAGGCTGTTTGACTTAGGAGAAACTGTATCAGGCAAGGCTTGAGGAGAACAGTAACAAATTTATTTAACAGGAGTATAACATATTCAATTGTTTCTTCACAAGAGGCACAAATCTTGATTGGTTACATTAGTAAGGTTTCATGAGTAACTTTAGGTACAGACTTTAAGAGGTTTCTGTAAGCAGATGTATCTTTCCTGGACAACTGTCCTAATAAAACAAATAAGCTAAAAGGCTTATTTAACAGAATTGGCTCCCAGCCAAACCCTGATTCTTAATATTAAAGAACCAGTCTTCCCTATAGTTCTCTAACTATAGTATTCCTGATGGTTTTCCACACACCACAGGATCAACTACCTTCTCCTGTAACTCTTTGGTCACAGACTAGTTCCCTGTTTCTCCCACTAGAAAAATCAGTCTTCCCTGTAGCTCACCGGCTTACAGACTGCCACTTTCAAACAGCTGCCCCGTGAAGTGACAGTTGGCTCCGCCCCCGTTGCTATGGCAACTCAGCTCAAGCCAAACCAGCCACCATCTCTAACAAAATATAATCCTACATACTTACCATTTATTAACTACTGTTTAAACAACACATAACCATAAGAATAAAAGTTACACATCATCACAGAGGTATTTTTGGAAGCTTAGATTTTTCTGACAGAGAGTTTTTGTGACAGGCAAGGCTGCATTATTTGGCCAGGACGGTCAAAGTAGTCGCCTGGGTGCTTGTGTGGGTTTTTACACAAGTGGTTTGCTCTCTGGGTTAGAGTAGATTAGCTTATAGAGGACTCTGCTTAGAGTGTAGCTAATTGCTCTGGGGACAACCTGGTTAGGTTAGTCTGGGGAACTCACTGCTACTGTGTTATTGTAGAGTGAGGAGTTTTACTCGTATCTAAGTCAAGTAACCTGTTTAAAGAAACCATCAAGAATATTGCACATCAGTAACCATTTAAGCTTGTGTGCCTCATTAAAGAAGATAGTTGTTTGTTTGGTTTTATCAATAAACGCTTTCTCCATTTCAACTTTAAAGAAGCCTTAGCAGTGATTCATTCCATAACAATGTGATGTGGTGGCAAAAAAGCCAATGGGATTTTGGCCTGCATCAAGAGGAGCATAGTGTCTAGATCCTGGGAAACCCATGCTCTATTCTGCTTTGGTTAGACCACACCTGGAATATTGTGTCCAATTCTGGGCACCACAATTCAAGAGAGATATTGACAAGCTGGAATGTGTCCAGAGGAGGGCGACTAAAATGATCAAGGGTCTGGAGAACAAGCCCTATGAGGAGCGGCTTAGGGAGCTGGGCATGTTTAGCCTGAAGAAGAGAAGGCTGAGAGGAGATATGATAGCCATGTATAAATATGTGAGAGGAAGCCACAGGGAGGAGGGAGCAAGCTTGTTTTCTGCTTCCTTGGAGACTAGGACGCAATGGAACAATGGCTTCAAACTACAAGAGAGGAGATTCCATCTGAACATGAGGAAGAACTTCCTGACTGTGAGAGCCGTTCAGCAGTGGAACTCTCTGCCCCGGAGTGTGGTGGAGGTTCCTTCTTTGGAAGCTTTTAAACAGAGGCTGGATGGCCATCTGTCAGGGGTGATTTGAATGCAATATTCCTGCTTCTTGGCAGAATGGGGTTGGACTGGATAAAGGCCCAGGAGGTCTCTTCCAACTCTTTGATTCTATGATTCTATGAAGCAATAACTCTTGCCAAGTCCTAGTCAAGCCTGCTAAGGAAATTCTAGTTCCATGTCTCCATTTGTTCATGTTTCCTGCTTTCAAGTTTGAAGGATTATTTCTGGATTTTTGTATTGGATTGTGTGTTGCCTTGTGTTTCCTGGTTATTGTACCCCTGTTCTGGATGCCCTGATATTTTGGGTTTTTGAAACGACTCTTGTACCTTATTTATTATTTATTTATTTGGACCATTTCTACCATGCCCTTCTCACCCCCGAGGGAGGACTCAGGGCGGCTAACACAGGCAACAATTCAATGCCAACAGTATCAAAACAACAATATAAAAACAGCAATATAAAATCCATTACATAACAATTAAGCAGTGATATTAATTAAAATTACATAACCATATAGAACAGATCACAGAATCACAGGTCATAAAGCCATTTCCAATTTTCAAACAATCCTATTGTCCGAGTTCAGTGCCTAAAGTGCTGCTGTGCCCAGTAGCCAAAGGCCTACCTCCAAAACCACGTCTTTAGTTTTTTCCTAAAAGTAAGGAGGGAGGACGTCGATGTAATCTTGCTGGGGAGCGAATTCCATAAGCGGGGTCACCACCGAGAAGGCCCTGTCCCTCATCCCCACTAGACGTGTTTGAGACGCCGGTGGGACCGAGAGCAGGGCCTCCCCAGTAGATCTTAAATTACGAGGTGGAACGTAGAGAGAGATACGTTCGGATAAGTAAACTGGGCCGGAGCCGTGGAGTATTTCTGTCAGGAGTCAATTTCTGACAGCATGAAGACGTCACAAATTCCCTCCGTGACATCCTGACTGAATCGTCCTGGCTGAATCAATTCTCTCTCTGTGACATTTTGAAGCTAGCAGAGGGCACTGGAAACCTTGTATTGGAACTTGTGAAGCAACAACCTCTAATAAGGAAACTGAGAAGAGGGGGAGATGGGCAGGAAAGGTGTATAAAAGGAAGTGGTGGTGGGGAAAAGTCAGTAGGGTCTTTCTTTGCTGCAGAGAAACAAGCAATATATTTATTTCCAAGCAAAACCGGCTTGTGAGTGATCATTTAATATTGCTATATAAAACCTACAGTCTTACAATTTCACACATTTGGACTTTGACATTTTTTTTTTTTACTATTTTGACTGAACTGCTTTTTATATAATCTTCAATAAACTGCTTGCTGTTATAATTTGGATTGGAGTGTGGTGGTTAAGTACAGAGGTGCTTCCTGCCCTGGAGTGCAACAGATGTGCTCTGTCCACTGACAATGAATTGAAGGGCCTTGTGTAGGTCCAGAAAAGGCTCACCTGGGCAGGGCAGCAGCTCCATCCCCTTGGGCGTGACGCGGAAGCAGCCGCGCAGGTCCAGGACGCGGAGCCGGCTGGAGGCGCAGAGGATGCGGCGCAGCATGTTGTTGTCCACAAAGGAGAAGGAGGTGGTGGCCAGGCAGAGCTCCTCCAGGTGAGGAAACCCCGGGGACTGCGGGGCCGAGGAGGGCACCGACTTTGGGTAGCAGATGACGTTCAGAAGCCGCAGCACCTGGAAAGAGGGAAGAGCCCGGCGGCAAAGTGAGGCCGAGAGGGAGGAGAAGGAGAAAGGTGAGGGTGGGTGCCACTTCCCCAGGAATCAGCAGGACAGGAAGCCATCAAGTTGACATCCCCAGTTTGACATTTTTATCCCGCTTGCATGTTTAAAAATCATAGCTTTGTAGGTTTGGTCCTCACTACCTCTAAGGATGCTTGCCATAGATGCAGGCGAAACGTCAGGAGAAAATGCCTCTAGAACATGGCCATATAGCCCGGAAAAACCTACAACAACCCAGTGATTCCAGCCATGAAAGCCTTCGACAAAGCGACTAGGGCCAGATCAGTCTTGCAAAAGTAAATATAAACAATTTGAACCCTCTAATGTGAAGGTTTCTACCAAAATAATACACCCAGGGATATTTTTCCAATGCCATCCTTCTGAGAATTTCCATTGTTGTGACTAAGTTTGCAGAGATGGGTTGGAAATACATTTAGATCAGGCCTGGGCCAATCTGGGTGTTTTGGACTCCAACTCCCACCATTCCTAACAGCCAATAGGAAGTTGGGAGTCCAAAACACCTGGAGGGAGGGCCCAAGTTGGCCCAGGCCTGCTGTAAACAAAACCGGTCTTACCTGGAGCTTTGGGCAGGCGGCCTGGAGCTGCTCGATGGGGAGCTGGAAGTGGTGCGGGCTCTGCTTGAGCTCCGTGTTCACCTCGAGGAGCTGCAGTTCCGGGCAGGTGCCGTTCTGGAAGGAAAGTTAGGCACAATGAGTGGAGAACAGGAGAAGGCCTCGTCCTGCACTCCTTGCATAGACCACGTGGGTCATCGAGTCCAACTCCTTTTTGCCATGCATAATCAAAGCACCCCTGACAGATGGGTTTGGTGGGAACGAGAGACAGGGCCTTCTCAGTGGTGGCCCCTCGGCTATGGAACTCTCTCCCGAGCGAGATTAGATCTGCCCCCTCCCTCTTGTCCTTCAGAAATCCTGGTTATGGAACGAAGCACTCCCAGAATAATGGCTGAGAGTGGTTACAGACCAAAGTGAGTGACCACATATGCGGACTGAGTTGGACATGATTTTACCTTGGCGGTTTGGTATATATGTATTTTATCTATATGTATTTTCATCTTGTGTTGTTGTTTGATGTTTTAACTTGTATTAGTAGCATTGAGTCCTTGCTGTAAGCCGGTCTGAGTCCCTCTACGGAGGTGAGAAGGTCGGGATATGAAAGTTTTAAATAAATAAATAATAATAAATAAATGGCCATCCAGCCTCTATTTAAAAGTTTCCAAAAGGGAAAGAAGGAGGGCAGGAGAGAAGGAAAGAAAGAAAGGTAAAGAAGGAAGGAGGGAGAGAAAGAGGGAGAGGAGAGGAGGAAGGAAAGAAAGAAAGGTAGAGAAGGAAGGAGAAGAAAGGAAAGAAGGAGGGAGGGAGAGAAAGAAGTAGAGAAGGAAGGAGAGGAGGGAGAGAAAGAGGGAAAGAAGGAGGGAAGGAGAGAAGGAAGGAAGGAAGGAAGGAGAGAAAGTGGGAAAGAAAGGGAAGGAGAGAAGGAAAGAAAGAAAGGTAAAGAAGGAAGGAGGGAGAGAAAGAGGGAAGGAGAGGAGGAAGGCAAGAAAGAAAGGTAGAGAAGGAAGGAGAAGAAGGGAAAGAAGGAGGAGGGAGAGAAAGAAGTAGAGAAGGAAGGAGAGGAGGGAGAGAAAGAGGGAAAGAAGGAGGGAAGGAGAGAAGGAAGGAAGGAAGGAAGGAGAGAAAGTGGGAAAGAAAGGGAAGGAGAGAAGGAAAGAAAGAAAGGTAAAGAAGGAAGGAGGGAGAGAAAGAGGGAAGGAGAGGAGGAAGGCAAGAAAGAAAGGTAGAGAAGGAAGGAGAAGAAGGGAAAGAAGGAGGAGGGAGAGAAAGAAGTAGAGAAGGAAGGAGAGGAGGGAGAGAAAGAGGGAAAGAGGAGGGAAGGAGGAAGGAAAGAAGGAGAGAAGGAAGAAGAAGGAAGGAGAAAGAGGAGAAAGAAAGAAGGAAAAGGAGGGAAGTAAATAAATAAATAATAATATACACACACAAAACACATACACAGAAAGGGGGAAAGAAGGAAGGAAAGAGAGAAGGAGGGAGAGAAGGAGGGAGAGAAGGAGGGAAGGAGAGAAAGAAGGAAAGAAAGAAGGTAGAGAAGGAAGGAGAGAAGGAGGGAGTGAAAGAGAAAGAAAGAAGGTGAGAAAGAGGGAAAGAAGAAGGGAAAGAAGGAGGGAAGGAGAGAAAGAAGGAAAGGAAGAAGGTTAGAGAAGGAAGGAAATAAAAATGTGAAAGAAGGAAGGAAAGAGAGAGGGAAGGAAGGAAGGAAGGAAGGAAGGAAGGAAGGAAGGAAGGAAGGAAGGAAGGAGAAGGAAGGAGGGAATGAAAGCAGGAAGGAAGGATAGGACCAAAGAGCAAAGGAAAGGAGGAAAGAAACAGGTAGAGAAGGAAAGAAATAAGGGTAAAGAAGGAAGGGAGGAGAGAAGGAGGGAGAGAATGAAATAAGGTAAAAGAGGGAAGGAAGGAGAGAAGGAACGAAAGAGAGTCGGAGGGAGGGAGGGAGGGAGGGAAGGAAGGAAGGAAGGAAAGAGAGAAGGAAGGATAGGACCAAAGAGCAAAGGAAGGGAGGAAAGGAACAGGTAGAGAAGGAAAGAAATAAGGGTAAAGAAGGAAGGGAGGAGAGAAGGAGGGAGAGAATGAAATAAAGTAAAAGAGGGAAGGAAGGAGAGAAGGAACGAAAGAGAGACGGAGGGAGGGAGGGAGGGAGGGAGGAGAGGAGGGAGGGAGGGAGGGAGGGAAGGAAGGAAGGAAGGAAGGAAGGAAGGAAGGAAGGAAGGAGGAAGGAAGGAAGGATAGGACCAAAGAGCAAAGGAAAGGAGGAAAGAAACAGGTAGAGAAGGAAAGAAATAAGGGTAAAGAAGGAAGGGAGGAGAGAAGGAGGGAGAGAATGAAATAAGGTAAAAGAGGGAAGGAAGGAGAGAAGGAACGAAAGAGAGACGGAGGGAGGGAGGGAGGGAGGGAAGGAAGGAAGGAAGGAAGAAGGAAAAGGAAGGAAGAAGGAAGGAAGGAAGAAGAGAGAAGGAAGGGAAGGAAAAGAGAAAGGAAGGGAGGAAAGGAACAGGTAGAGAAGGAAAGAAATAAGGGTAAAGAAGGAAGGGAGGAGAGAAGGAGGGAGAGAATGAAATAAAGTAAAAGAGGGAAGGAAGGAGAGAAGGAACGAAAGAGAGACAGAGGGAGAGAAGGAAGGAAGGAAAAAGACAAGGAAGGATGGAACCAAAGAGGAAAGGAAGCGAGAAAAGAGGTAGAGAAGGAAGAAAGAAGAGGCCACTTCTGGTGCACACACACATATAATGCTTACCAAAATCACCCCGATGATGGCACTCATGCGGCTGCTGTATGTCAACCAGAGGTGCCGGAGGCGAGAGCCAGCCGCTTCCAGAAAGCTGAGCACTGCTGAAGAATCCGTCTGGAAAGACAGAAGGCAGGAAAGGGTCGGAGCGTCCTTCTTGCAAAAGAAAGAGGCCCTTTGGGAATGCTTGGGATCTCGATCAGGCATGGGCAAACTCCGGCCCTCCGGGTGTTTTGGACTCCAGCTCCCACCGTTCCTAAGTGTGTTGACGCCCGTTCTATAGATCCCTTCTGAGCCAAACTGCACCTCACCTGGGAATTCTGTAGGTTCAGGCTCTCCAGGTGTGGGCAGCTCTCAGCTATTGCGCAGAGGGACTCGGTGGTCACCCCATTGCAGTGGGACAGCTTCAGGGAGGTCAGGAGGGGGCAGGAATGGCCAATCGCCTGGAAAAAGAGGAAAGAGGACATGGAAAGGAATCCTCATAAAATAATAATAATAATAACAACAACAACAAAGTATGGATTGGATTGTCGAAGGCTTTCATGGCCGGAATCACTGAGTTGTTGTAGGTGCCGCAGGGTTCCCCCCTGGGCCCGGTCCTGTTCAACATCTTGATTAATGACTTAGATGAAGGGCTAGAAGGCAGGATCATCAAGTTTGCAGACGAATTGGAAGGGAGAGCCAATACTCCAGAGGACAGGAGCAGGATTCAAAATGATCTTGACAGATTAGAGAGATGATTGGCCAAAACTAACAAAATGAAGTTCAACAGGGGAAAATGCAAGATACTCCACTTTGGCAGAAAAAACGAAATGCAAAGATACAGAATGGGGGACGATGAGGCCTGGCTCAAGAGCAGTACGTGTGGAAAAGATCTTGGAGTCCTTGTGGACAACAAGTTAAACATGAGCCAACAATGTGATGTGGCGGCAAAAAAAGCCAATGGGATTTTGGCCTGCATCAATAGGAGCATAGTGTCTAGATCTAGGGAAGCCATGCTACCCCTCTATTCTGCTTTGGTTAGACCACACCTGGAATATTGTGTCCAATTCTGGGCACCACAATTCAAGAGAGATATTGACAAGCTGGAATGTGTCCAGAGGAGGGCGACTCAAATGATCAAGGGTCTGGAGAACAAGCCCTATGAGGAGCGGCTTAAGGAGCTGGGCATGTTTAGCCTGAAAAGAGAAGGCTGAGAGGAGATATGATGGCCATGTATAAATATGTGAGGGGAAGTCACAGGGAGGAGGAGGGAGCAAGCTTGTTTTCTGCTTCCCTGGAGACTAGGACGCAATGGAACAATGGCTTCAAACTACAAGAGAGGAGATTCCATCTGAACATGAGAAGAACTTCCTGACTGTGAGAGCCGTTCAGCAGTGGAACTCTCTGCCCTGGAGTGTGGTGGAGGCTCCTTCTTTGGAAGCTTTTAAACAGAGGCTGGATGGCCATCTGTTAGGGGTGATTTGAATGCAATATTCCTGCTTCTTGGCAGGGGGTTGGACTGGATGGCCCATGAGGTCTCTTCCAACTCTTTGATTCTATGATTCCTATGACCTTACCACATGGAGGCATTCTGATGTTTCGCCTGCATCTATGGCAAGCATCCTCAGAGGTAGTGAGGTCTGAAAGAAAGATAGAGAAGCAAGGAAGGAGAGAAAGAAATAAAAAAGTGAAAGGAAGAAGAGAGGGAAAGAAGGAGAGAAGGAACGAAAGACAGGGGAGGGAGGGAGGGAGGAAGGATGCAACCAAAGAGCAAAGAAGGGGGAAAAGAAACAGGTAGAGATGGAAGAAAGAAGAAGAGAAATAGGAAGGGAAAGAAATAGAGGAAAGGAAGGAAGGAAGGAAGGAAGGAAGGAAGGAAGGAAGGAAGGAAGGAAGGAAGGAAGGAAGGAAAGAGGGAGGGAAGTTTGGCCACAGCAACGCGTAGCGTGTACAGCTAGTCTATATAAATAAAAAGGTCATGTTCGTTTGTGGGATTGACATAACTCAAAAACCACTGAACGAATTGACACCAAATTTGGACACAAGACAACACCTCTCAGGCCACCGAGTGACCATCCCTCAAAAAATTGATTTTGTCATTTGGGAGTTGTAGTTGCTGGGATTTATAGTTCACCTACAATCAAAGAGCATTCTGAACTCCACCAATGATGGAACTGAACCAAACTTGGCACACGACTCCCATGACCAACAGAAAACACTAGAAGGGTTTGGTGGGCATTGACCTTGAGTTTGGGAGTTGTAGTTCACCTACATCCAGAGAGCACTGTGGACTCAAACAGTGATGGATCTGGACCAAACTCTACATGAATACTCAATATGCCCAAATGTGAACATGGAGCTTGGGGAACATAGAATCCTGACATTTGGGAGTTGTAGTTGCTGGGATTTATAGTTCACCTACAATCAAAGAGCATTCTGAACTCCACCAATGATGGAACTGAACCAAACTTGGCACACAGACCTCCCATGACCAAGAGAAAATGCTAGAAGGGTTTGGTGGGCATTAACCTTGAGTTTGGGAGTTGTAGTTCATACATCCAGAGAGCACTGTGGACTCAAACAATGATGGATCTGGACCAAACTCTACACGAATTCTCAATATGCCCAAATGTGAACACTGGTGGAGTTTGGGGAAAATAAAATATTGACATTTGGGAGTTGTAGTTGCTGGGATTTATAGTTCACCTACAATCAAGAGCGTTCTGAACTCCACCAATGATGGAACTGAACCAAACTTGGCACAAGACTCCCATGATCAACAGAAAACACTAGAAGGGTTTGGTGGGCATTGACCTTGAGTTTGGGAGTTTTAGTTCACCCACATCCAGAGAGCACTGTGGACTCAAACAATGATGGATCCGGACCAAACTTGGCACGAATACTCCATATACCCAAATGTGAACATGGAGCTTAGGGAAAATAGAATCTTGACATTTGGGAGTTATAGTTCACCTACATCCAGAGAGCACTGTGGACTCAAACAGTGATGGATCTGGACCAAACTCTACATGAATACTCAATATGCCCAAATGTGAACATGGAGCTTGGGGAAAATAGAATCTTGACATTTGGGAGTTGTAGTTGCTGGGATTTATAGTCCACCTACAATCAAAGAGCATTCTGAACTCCACCAATGATGGAACTGAACCAAACTTGGCACACAGAACTCCTATGACCAACAGAAAACACTAGAAGGGTTTGGTGGACATTGACCTTGAGTTTGGGAGTTGTAGTTCACCTACATCCAGAGAGCACTGTGGACTCAAACAATGATGGATCCGGACCAAACTCTACACGAATACTCAATATGCCCAAATGTGGGGTTTGGGGAAAATAGGCCTTGACATTTGAGAGTTATAGTTGCTGGGATTTATAGTTCACCTACAAACAAAGAGCATTCTGAACCCTACCAACAATTGAATTGGGCCAAACTTCCCACACAGAATCTTCATGACCAACAGAAAATACTGTGTTTTCTGCTGGTCTTTGGTGACCCCTCTGACACCCCCTTGCGACCTCTCCAGGGGTCCCGACCCCCAGGTTGAGAAACACTGTCTTAACTGGTTTATGTGTTGTTATCAGATAGTAATATCATATGTTCTTATTCCCCACATTGATCCATGTGTAAGATATCATCATCATCATCATCACTGCAGGTAAACATCAGCCATGCTCACCTTCAAGACAACCGGCACCAGGCTTTTCCAATGACAGAGGGAAAACTCCCGGAGGTGGGAAAACCTGGAAAGAAAAACAGGGACTAAAAAAAGCCAAATGGGATTTTGGCCTGCATCAAGAGGAGCCTAGTGTCTAGATCCAGGGAAGTCATGCTCCCCATGCTCTTTTCTGCCTTGGTTAGACCACACCTGGAATATTGTGTCCAATTCTGGGCACCACAATTCAAGAGAGATATTGACAAGCTGGAATGTGTCCAGAGGAGGGCGACTAAAATGATCAAGGGTCTGGAGAACAAGCCCTATGAGGAGCGGCTTAAGGAGCTGGGCATGTTTCGCCTGAAGAAGAGAAGGCTGAGAGGAGACATGATAGCCATGTATAAATATGTGAGAGGAAGCCACAGGGAGGAGGAGGGAGCAAGCTTGTTTTCTGCTTCCCTGGAGACTAGGACGCAATGGAGGAATGGCTTCAAACTACAAGAGAGGAGATTCCATCTGAACATGAGGAAGAACTTCCTGACTGTGAGAGCCGTTCAGCAGTGGAACTCTCTGCCCCGGAGTGTGGTGGAGGCTCCTTCTTTGGAAGCTTTTAAACAGAGACAGGATGGCCATCTTTTGGGGGTGCATAGTATCGTAGAATCATAGAGTTGGAAGAGACCTCGTGGGCCATCCAGTCCAACCCCATTCTGCCAAGAAGCAGGAAAATTGTATTCAAAGCACCCCCCACAGATGGCCATCCAGCCTCTGTTTAAAAGCTTCCAAAGAAGGAGCCTCCACCACACTCTGGGGCAGAGAGTTCCGCTGCTGAACAGTTCTCACAGTCATCTCGTCTCATAGTTAAAATCAAGATCCAGTCTCATCATCCAAATGTTCCATATTTCTATATTAGTTACACTGCCTTTTCAAATGCCTGCTCAGACAACCAGGTCTTCACTTTCTTCCAAAATGTGAACAGGGAGGGGGCCGATCTAATTTCTGTGGGAAGGGCGTTCCACAGCCAAGGGGCCACCACTGAGAAGGCCCTGTCTCTCGTCCCCACCAGGCGTGCTTGTGATGCAGGCGGGACCGAGAGCAGGGCCTCCCCAGACGATCTTAACGTCCTAGCTGGTTCACAGGAGGAGATACGTTGAAACAGGTAAGTTGGGCCAGAACCGTTTAGGGCCGTGGTTCTCAACCTGGGCTCCCCAGATGTTTTTGGCCTACAACTCCCAGAAATCCCAGCCAGTTTACCAGCTGTTAGGATTTCTGGGAGCTGAAGGCCAAAAACACCTGGTTGAGAATTAGGCCTGGGTAACAACGGAAAAATTTGTTTCTAAAATCGATTTGTATTTGGGTTTTTTTTTGTTTCGATATTTAAAATAATTACAAAATTTTCCTTTTAAAAAGTTCGATATTTACGAAATTTCATAAATGGTAAAAAAATTAACGAATCGATTTCCGAAACAATAACGAATCGATTCGTTAATGGCGGACGCGACCGCGAAATACGCTAAAAAACCTCCAAAACCTTCTGAAGCTTCCCTCTCCCTCTGTTGTTGACTGTTGGTGTGATATTATAATTTTTTTTCACTAATTAAACCATAAAACTGGCCCAGACATGCGGAAATAATACGAAACGACCTCAAAACAATAACGAAACGAATACAATATCGAAATACGAAGCATTTACAAAACGTTTTTGAAAATTCGTTTTTTTAATAATTGCTCCAGAATGGTTCGTTATCGTTTTGTAGTTGAAAAAATTAACGAATTATTAACGAATTACGAATTAACGAAACGAAACCGCCCAGCCCTATTGAGAATCACTGGCTTAGGGCTTTATAGGCTAAGGCCAGCACTTTGAATTGTGCCCGGTAGCAAACTGGCAGCCAGTGGAGCTGGCGCAACAGAGGAGTTGTGTGCTCCCTGAGTGCCGCTCCTGTTAGTAACCTGGCTGCCGAGCGTTGGACCATTTGAAGCTTCCGGGCAGTCTTCAAAGGCAACTCCACGTAGAGAGCGTTGCAGTAGTCTATACGGGATGTAACCATAGTGTGGACTACCGTGGCCAAGTCAGACTTCTCAAGGTATGGGCGCAGCTGGCACACAAGTTTTAACTGTGCAAATGCTCCCCTGGTCACCGCTGATGTCCCTGTATCCCTGCTCCCACCCGCTCTAGTTATGATGTCGAATGATGAGAAATACAAGAGTTGGAGGCCATCATCTGGAGGGCATGGCAGGCCAGATTTGATCCACAGGCCTTGACACATGTGCTCTAGATTGAGGGAAATAATAGTCTATCAAAGGTTTGGATTATGGATATTTTCATGGCAGATTGGGTTGGGCAGGATGGCCCTTGTGGTCTCGTCCAAGTCGATGGGTCTGAGATTCCAACAATAACATTGCAAGGAGCAAGACATAACCTCACCTGTTGGGGACCAGCCACTCCAAGGTGCCAAGGACTCTCTTCTCCGCTGCAGGAGGAAGCCGTTTCCCTGGAGCCACCCAGCAGTGGCCGATGGACACCTTCTGCCACAGGACGGGGTTGGAGGCCGCTCCGTACCACAGCCGGCACACACGGGACATCCTAAATAATAATAATATAGATAATAAGGATTACTTGGTGGAAAATAACATCTTGCCAGTAGAACAAAAAGGCAATAAAAGGGGGCACGAAAGATCAGCTTCTAATTGACAAAATGATACTGGAGAATTACAAAAGCCGCAAAACAAACCTCTATACAACTTGGATTGATTACAAAAAAGTATTTGACTCACTGCCACATTGTTGGATTATCAGATGTCTAGATGTCATCAGGGTTTGTGAAAATATTAGAAAGTTTTATTCAATTAGGTTCTTGTGGGTTTTTTCGGGCTATAGAGCCATGTTCTAGAGGCATTTCTCCTGACGTTTCGCCTGCATCTATGGCAAGCATCCTCAGAGGTGTGAGGTCTGTTGGAAGTAGGAAAAATGGGTTTATATATCTGTGGAATGGCTGGGGTGGGGCAAGGAGCTCTTCCCTGCTGGAGCTAGGTGTGAATGTTTCAACTGACCACCTTGATTAGCATTTGATGGCCTGGCAGTGCCTGGGGCAATCTTTTGTTGAGAGGTGATTAGCTGTCCCTGATTGTTTCCTCCCTGTTGTTTTGCTGTTGTAATTTTAGAGTTTTTTTAATACTGGTAGCCAGATTTTGTTCATTTTCATGGTTTCTTCCTTTCTGTTGAAATTGTCCACATGCTTGTGGATTTCAATGGCTTCTCTGTGTAGTCTGACATGGTGGTTGTTGGTGTGGTCCAGCATTTCGGTGTTCTCAAATAATATGCTGTGTCCAGGCTGGTTCATCAGGTGCTCTGCTATGGCTGACTTCTCTGGTTGAAGTAGTCTGCAGTGCCTTTCATGTTCCTTGATGCGTGTTTGGGCGCTGCGTTTGGTGGTCCCTATGTAGACTTGTCCACAGCTGCATGGTATACGGTAGACTCCTGCAGAGTTATTTATTTATTTACAGTAATTCTATTCCGCCCTTCTCCTCACCCCGCAGGGGACTCAGGGCGGATTACAATGTACACATATATGGCAAACATTCAATGCCAATTTGACATACAACATATACAGACATACACAGAGGCTATTTAACTTTTTTCTGGCCGCCAGGGGAGCTGTCGCTTTCCTCGTCCCTCTGCGACGCTGATGAAGCGCTTCCGCATTCCCCGCATGCTTCCCCGCTGGAATGCTTTGCTGGAGTCTTTTTTATGGCCTCATAAATTAGTTAATTTAGCCTCCCCACACAAGGTGGTACCTAATTCTCCTACCTGACAGATGCAACTGTCTTTCGGGTTGCAAAGGTTGATAACAGGCTACACAATAGGTTGGAAGCCCACTCCAACCCGGGCTGGCTTCGAACTCATGACCTTTTGGTCAGAGTGATCTTAATGCAGATGACACTCATCCAGCTGCGCCACAATCCCGGTGCACCAAAAATGCAATGAAACAATGGAAAACTGAGTTGTTTGTGGGCAACGAAAGCTATGGAACTGTTAACATCAAGAGAGGAATTTTCCAAGGCGACACACTGTCACCACTGCTGTTCATCACTGCACCGATCCCACTGTCAGTAATTCTACAGAAAGCAAACCTTGGCTACCAAACAGCAAGACTACAAACAAATTCTGTGGCCCAAATGATTCACTGGAACTTATGTCACAAGGACCACCTGCCAGTAGGAAAGAACTGATAAAGGGATCATAAACCTCCAAAGGGAGTGGAAAATGAACATGCAAAATTACTGTGGGACTGGGTTGTTGTAGGTTTTTTTCGGGCTATATGGCCATGTTCTAGAGGCATTTCTCCTGACGTTTCGCCTGCATCTATGGCAAGCATCCTCAGAGGTAGTGAGGTCTGTTGGAAATAGGAAAATGGGTTTATATATCTGTGGAATGACCAGGGTGGGACAAAGGACTCTTGTCTGCTGGAGCTAGGTGGGAATGTTTCAACTGGCCACCTTGATTAGCATTTGATGGCCAGGCAGTGTCTGGAGCAAACTTTTGTTGAAAGGTGATTAGATGTCCTTGTTTGTTTCCTCTCTGTTGTTGTGCTGTTGCAATTTTAGAGTTTTTTAAAAAGATTTTGTTCATTTTCATGGTCTCTTCCTTTCTGTTGAAATTGTCCACATGTTTGTGGATTTCAATGGCTTCTCTGTGTAGCCTGACATGGTGGTTGTGAGAGTGGTCCAGCATTTCTGTGTTCTCAGATAATATGCTGTGTCCAGGTTGGTTCATCAGGTGCCCTGCTATGGCTGATTTCTCTGGTTCAATTAGTCTGCAGTGCATAGGGACCACCAAACACAGCTTTGCCAAAACATGAATCAAGGAACATGAAAGGCACTGCAGACTACTTAAAAAAACTCTAAAATTACCAACAGCACAACAGAGAGGAAACAAACAAGGACATCTAATCACCTCTCAACAAAAGTTTGCTCCAGGCACTGTCAGGCCATTATATGCTAATCAAGGTGGTCAGTTGAAACATTCACACCTAGCTCCAGCAGACAAGAGTCCTTTGTCCCACCCTGGTCATTCCACAGATATATAAACCCTTTTTCCTAGTTCTAACAGACCTCACTACCTCTGAGGATGCTTGCCATAGATGCAGGCGAAACGTCCGGAGAGAATGCCTCTAGATCATGGCCATGACCAGCCACTGCCAGAAGGGACAGAGAGTTTCATCTATGCTGATAACCGTGCTATTACTGCTCAAGCAGGGAGCTTTGAGTTTTGAGTTGTCCACTGGCTGCCAATTTGCTACCGGGCACAATTCAAGGTGCTGGCTTTAGCCTATAAAGCCCTACACGGTTCCGGCCCCACTTACCTCTCCGAACGCATCTCCACCTATGAACCGGCGAGGTTGTTAAGATCGTCTGGGGAGGCCCTGCTCTCGGTCCCGCCAGCGTCACAGGTGCGGCTGGCGGGAACGAGGGACAGGGCCTTCTCAGTGGTGGCCCCCCGGCTATGGAATGCCCTACCAGCGGACATCAGGCAGGCCCCTTCGCTATTGGCGTTTAGGAGGAGGGTTAAGACGTGGCTCTTCGAACAGGCGTTCGGATAAATATGCAATAACAACTGACTCAGGAATGACGGCACATTGAACAAGGAATGGTAATACGACTGTGAGATCGAGATCTGATTCTAATGAGGCGTGATGATTTTTATGTGTATTGTTTGTGTATGTTTGTTATATAGATTGTTCAGTGTTGCACATTTTATTGTAAACCGCTTCGAGTCGCCTTTTTAGGCTGATATTTGCGGTATACAAAAGAAGTAAATAAATAAATAAATAAATAAATAGAACAGAAGCTTTCCAAAGCTCTAGGTGCTCTTACTGCCTATTACAGGGAAAACCAGCTGATCCCCAACCCATCTAAAACACAGACATGTGCCTTTCATCTCAAGAACAGAGAAGCATCCCGAGCTCTGAAGATCACCTGGGAAGGAATCCCACTGGAGCATTGCAGCGCACCCAAATACCTGGGAGTCACTCTGGACCGTGCTCTTACCTACAAGAAGCACTGCCTGAACATCAAGCAAAAAGTGGGTGCTAGAAACAATATCATACGGAAGCTGACTGGCACAACCTGGGGATCACAACCAGACACAGTGAAGACATCTGCCCTTGCGCTGTGCTACTCTGCTGCTGAGTATGCATGCCCAGTGTGGAACACATCTCACCACACTAAAACAGTGATGTGGCTCTGAATGAGACATGCTGCATTATCACGGGGTGTCTGCGCCCTACACCACTGGAGAAATTACACTGCTTAGCCGGTATTGCACCACCTGACATCCGCCAGGAAGTGGCAACCAATAGTGAAAGGACCAAGACAGAGACATCTCCAGCTCATCCCTTGTTTGAGTATCAGCCAGCACGCCAATTACTTAAATCTAGACATAGTTTTCTAAGATCTACAGAGACACTCATTGGAACACCTCAGCAAGCGAGAGTCCAAAAGTGGCAGGTCCAAACCCAGCACCTCAACCAATGGCTGATACCAAATGAGAGACTCCCTCCTGGGCACACAGAAGACTGGGCAACTTGGAAGGCGCTGAACAGACTGCGCTCTGGCACCACGAGATGCAGAGCCAACCTTCAGAAATGGGGCTACAAAGTGGAATCCTCGACATGCGAGTGTGGAGAAAAGCAAACCACTGACCACCTGCTGCAATGCAACCTGAGCCCTGCCACATGCACCATGGAGGACCTCCTTGCGGCAACACCAGAGGCACTCCAAGTGGCCAGATACTGGTCAAAGGACATTTAACCAACTACCAAACTCACAAGATGTGTATTTTTCTGTCTGTTTGCTTTGTTCTGTTAGAAATGTAATATATAATGGACTGGTTGCTCTGACACGACAAATAAATGGCCATATAGCCCGAAAAACCCTACAACAACCCAAAAGCATATTGCATAAACTATATAAAAGAAGCTTAATAAATGATGCCATTGATAGCTGTAGTTAAATAATCTCCGTGTACCTGCAGAGGAAGGGCACCGCTCCATCGGAAGCCACGGCCACATGGAAGATTTGCACCAGGATCTCCACAGGGAGATGTTCTCCCCAGGAGCTTCCATTAGCTGACTGGGAGGAAACTGGGAGCGCATCTTTGCCCTCTCCTGGAACTCCAACACTCCCCGGTTGCTTTGCCAGAGACCCTCTTTGGGCGGCTTTCCCTCTATTTGCGGGCCGTTTCGTTGGACTTTTCTGCTGCTTCTTCTGCTTGGCCTTCCCCTTCTTCCTCTTGGAGGTCTTCCGAAGGGGCCGCTCGGGGGCTTCGCCCATATTGGAGATGATCAGCAGCATGTCGTTGTCTGTCTCGTGCACAAAGTAGTGTGGGGCGGGGGTCCTGGGGGCTCGGCGGGGCTTCTTCCTCTTCTTCTCCTTGGGGGCTCGGCTGGAGGGTCCTGCGCCCCCGCTCACCTCCCTTTTCCGCTTCCGGGGGGCCCTTGGCTTTGGCTGGGAGTCTGGAGCCCCCCCACTCCCTGTGGGCTCCTCGTCCATCCTGGACCCCTTCTTCTCATTGATGGCTGGCCAGCGGGGCTCTCCTGCGGAATCTGACCTAGGAGAAGGAGAGAAGGAGAGATAACATCATAAAGTTCGATAGAGTTACACGATGGGTAGATGCAGGGAATGCTGTGGAAAGTCGTTTTGGGGTCAGTTGCTTAACCAATTGCAGATCCACCTAATACAGCGGTTCTCAACCTGGGGGTTGCGACCCCCAGGGGGTTTAGGCCATTTTCGGGGGGTCGCGAAGCTGCCTTGGTTGGCCCCGCCCCCTCCAAAATGGCTGCCATGCGGTTTGAGCAAGGGAGGGCTGACCACCCTCCGCGCCTTTCTGAGTGTGTGTTGCAATCCAGAGCAGGGAACGAGGCCCTAAGATAACTATCCACCACACTTGGCTGTGAAAAACAATCCTTTTTTATTGAAGAAAAATGGTTACAAAATAAAGGAAAAATGCAAGTCAAAAGCCACAGCAAAATCAGCAAACATGAATTTAAATGGACAAAGCAAAACCAAAAGCCTCACTGGGAAATACTGGAACCTGTTAGCAATCCACTAACCGTACTTGATATCCTAGAAATCTTCCCAAACTATGGCCAGGGAACCGGGAGAACTGCCAAGGTCTTCATCAATTCTGAAACAATGCCTGAACTGAGACAGTCAGCCCGGCGTAAGGCAATTAAAATTCAAGAATTGGTTCCGTGAACCGCCCCTCTGCTTTGAAGCCATTGTTTGTATTTCTCTTAATCGGGAAAACCTTCGCAAACTGAGTGATTTACTTCTGTCTTGCCAGATCTGGCCCCTTCTGTTCTCATTAGAGTTCCCAGGTGCAGAAGGGAGTGAAAGGTCAAGGCTTCCCTCTGAAACATTCTCATGAACACTGGTACTTTCATTTTCCAAATCTACAGAAGTTCCTTCCTCACTAATTTCAGGAACATTGGCATTTTCCAAACCTACAGCAGTTTCTTCCTCACTAATTTCAGGAGCATTGGCATCAAAAGGTACATTTCCACTAGCATCAGTAAATATACTTTCATTAGCATCAGGAGGAACAAACAGAGAATCAGGTTCAAGTTCAAACTCAGGCTGAACCCCAACAGTGTGGAAGGGCGCGGGGGGGGAGGCGGAGGGATGCACAAGCCTTTCTTCCCGCCCCCCGCACACCCTTCCGAGCTCTTATGGCAGGGGAGCTATTCATCCCAGTAGCTCCCAAATGCCGTGGTCTGTTTTCCCTAGACTCCACCAGTGTTCACATTGGGGCATATTGAGTATCTGTGCCAAGTTTGGTCCAGATCCATCATTGTTTGAGTCTGCAATGCTCTTTGGATGCAGGTGAACTACAACTCCAAAACTCAAGGTCAGTGCCCACCAAACCCTTCCAGTATATTTCGTTGGTCGTGGGAGTTCTGTGTGCCAAGTTTGGTCCAATCCCATCATTGGTGGAGTTCAAAATGCTCTTTGATTGTAGGTGAACTATAAATCCCAGCAACTACAACTCCCAAATGACATAATTCTCCCTCCAACCCCACCAGTGTTCAGATTTGGGCATATTGGGTAACGTAAGGTAAAAGTTTTCCCCTGACATTAAATCCAGTCGTGTCCAACTCTGGGAGTTGGTGCTCAGTTTCTAGGCCAAAGAGCCAGTGTTGTCCATAGACCCCTCCAAGGTCATGCGGCTGACATGACAGCATGGAGCACTGTTGTTGGGTATTTGTGCCAAATTTGGTCCAGTGAATGAAAATACATCCTGCATTTCAGATATTTACATTATGATTTATAACAGTAACACAATTACAATCAGGAAGTAGCAATAATAATTATTTTATGGTTGGGGGTCACCACAACGTGAGGCCCTGTATTAAGGGGTCGCGGCATTAGGAAGGTTGAGAACCACTGACCTAATAGTAGCCTTGCCTAGCCCACATTGGATGAATTTGCTTGCAAGAAGGTCATGGGGGACTTTGTCAGAGGCCTTCCTGAAATCAAGATATGCTACATCCACAGCATTCCCTATATTCACTGGCAATCATCTTGGAGAATTCTTGGAGAACGAACGGGAGAAGCCCCAGCAGATTGGAGGAGAGCAAACGTGGTCCCTCTCTATCTTCAAGAAGGAAAAAAAGGACGAACTAAACAATGACCAATGTCTGGTCAGCCTCACATCGATACCAGGCAAGATTCTGGAAAAGATCCTGAAGGAAGTGGTTTGTAAACACTTAGAAACTAATGCGGTCATCGCTTATAGTCAACACGGATTCATCAAAAAGATGTCATGCCAGACTCATCTGACCTCTTTCTTCGATAGAGTTAGAAGCTGGGTAGATGCGGGGAATGCCGTGGATGGAGCATGTCTGGATTTCAGGAAGGCCTTCGACAAGGTCCCCCATTGTTGCACCTTAGAATAGAATCACCTTGCTGAAGACACCAAACAGCACTCAGCCTGTCTGTTGGGGAAGGTGGAAGGCAAAAGGAAGAGGGGCCGACCAAGGGCAAGATGGATGGATGGCATCCTTGAAGTGACTGGACTAACCTTGAAGGAGCTGGGGGTGGTGACGGCCGACAGGGAGCTCTGGCGTGGGCTGGTCCATGAGGTCACGGAGACGACTGAACGAATGAACAACAACAACAAAAAGTAAAAGATAAAAAGTTCATAAGAGCAAAAGTCTTGAAGTGACTGGACTGACCTTGAAGGAGCTGGGGGTGGTGACGGCCGACAGGGAGCTCTGGCGTGGGCTGGTCCATGAGGTCACGAAGAGTCGGAGACGACTGAACGAATGAACAACAACAACAAGAGCAAAAGTAATGTTCTAAAGATCAATGTAAGGAAACCCTTGAAAGAAGGATCCACAAAGGCACCAGCAAGGCAAAGTCCCATGAGAACATGACAAAGTCCTGAAACCATGAATGTGAAAACTGCAAAATAAATCCAGGCCAACAAATGTAAGCCTCTTGATTGAAACAAGAAGTTGCTCTGACACCGGGATATTCTCAAACAGCCTTTGCAAAACATGACGGCGTTTCTCTGGCCCTTGGCCTCCCTCTTGTTAGCTATTCTTACACTCCTTCAACCTTGAATTCCAAATGCTCAGCTCGATCTAAGGTTCCTGCTTCATCAAGGTCAATCTGTTCGTTAGTGCTTTCTTGCTCATTATCTGGCTGAGAACAACTGTCCTCCCTTCCTGAATCAACATGCACCTGGCTAGTTTCATTCTCAGCAGCGTCATCCCTTGCTGTGGGAAACTGATCTTCTGCATCCTGTTCCTCATCGTCCACCACAGGGGCATCACTGTGAACCTGATTGTGAACCTTAATCCCATCATCCCCATCAGAATAATTAACACTATCACTCTGTGATTCCAGCTGAGTCACAACACTCATAACCTTCTGGCAAGGAAACTAGTTCAATGTGGGCTAGGCAAAACTATGGTGAGGTGGATCTGGAATTGGTTAAGGGAACGAACCCAGAGGGTGATTCTCCCCAAGGCTTCCTCCTCTTCATCCTGGAAGGAAGTGACAAGCGGAGTGCCATCTGCAGGGTTCCGTCCTGGGCCCGGTCTGGTCCTGATCAGGATCTTTATTAATGACTTAGACGAAGGGCTAGAAGGCAGGATCATCAAGTTTGCAGATGACACCAAATTGGGAGGGAGAGCCAAGACTCCAGAGGACAGGAGCAGGATTCAAAACGATGTCGACAGATTAGAGAGATGAGCCAAAACTAAGAAAATGAAGTGCAACAGTGACAAATGCAAGAGACTCCACTTTGGCAGAAAAAAACGAAATGCAAAGAGACAGAATGGGGGACAATGAGGCCTGGCTCGAGAGCAGTACGCATGGAAAAGATCTTGGAGTCCTCGTGGACAACAAGTTAAACATGAGCCAGGAATGTGATGTGGCAGCAAAAAAAGCGAATGGGATTTTGGCCTGCATCAAGAGGAGCTTAGTGTCTAGATCTAGGGAAGTCATGCTACCCCTCTATTCTGCTTTGGTTAGATCATACCTGGAATATTGTGTCCAATTCTGGGCACCACAATTGAAGAGAGATATTGACAAGCTGGAATGTGTCCAGAGGAGGGCGACTAAAATGATCAAGGGTCTGGAGAACAAGCCCTATGAGGAGCGGCTTAAAGAGCTGGGCATGGTTAGCCTGAAGAAGAGAAGGCTGAGAGGAGACATGATAGCCATGTATAAATATGTGAGAGGAAGCCACAGGGAGGAGGGAGCAAGCTTGTTTTCTGCTTCCCTGGAGACTAGGACGCGAAACAATGGCTTCAAACTACAAGAAAGGAGATTCCATCTGAACATGAGGAAGAACTTCCTGTGAGAGCCGTTCAGAAGTGGAACTCTCCGCCCCGGAGTGTGGTGGAGGCTCCTTCTTTGGAAGCTTTTAAACAGAGGCTGGATGGCCATCTGTCAGGGGTGCTTTGAATGCAATATTCCTGCTTCTTGGCAGGGGGTTGGACTGGATGGCCCATGAGGTCTCTTCCAACTCTTTGATTCTAGGATTCTATGATAATTTGGCCTTGCCCCAAGCAATTTCTGTGTGTTTAATGTCCAATTTCTAACAGCCTACGGCGGATGTTAGGAATTGTGGGAGTTGGAGTCCAAAACACCTGGAGGGCCCAAGCTTGCTCAAGCCTGTAATATATCCTCCAAATGAGCATCCAAAGCCCTTGAGCATTTCCCCTTTAAGAGAAACCCCACTTCCGACTTCTCTGCCCAAACAAGAGCCTGGAACTACAACTCCCAGAGTTCCACAGCATAGAGGGCTGGCGGTTAGAGCCGCAAGGGAGCCTGGGGGTTGTAGTTTGTCTCCCTGGAAGTCCTGGAAAGGGCCCTGAATGGGAATGGAAGACCTGATACTACTGGGGAGGCCTCCTCCGTTGAGACTAGGCCGCGCGCGGGGTATTCTGGGGAAACAGGGAAAGATGGCGGCGTTTCTCACCTGTCAGACGCGAAGGAAGGAAAGCATGGCTGCCTCTGCTTCAAGGGGCGTGGCTTCCGGGGGAAAGGAGGCGTGGCTCTGACGACTTTCCATCTGACCAATCAGAGGCCTGGCCTCTTCCTCGAGGGGCGTGGCTTATTCTAGGAAAGGGCGGGTTCTTATTGTAGCCTCGCCCTCTGGCCAATCAGAGCCCTGGCTGCTTCCCCGAGGGGCGTGGCTTACTGTAGGAAAGGGCGGGTTCTTATGATAGCCACGCCGTCTGGCCAATCAGAGTGGAAGGCCGTGACTTTGAGATCGCCCCGCCCCCTTACCAACAGAGGCCAAGCTTTTGCTTCTAGGGGCGTGGCTTCCTGAGGAAAGGGCGTGGTTTTTGCTCTCGCCACGCCCCCTGACCAATCAGAGACCTTGCTGTTGTTTTAAGGGCGTGGCTTATTGCGGAAGTGGGCGTGGTTTTGTCCTTACCACGCCCCTTTCTGCTCTTACTCTTCATTCAGCTCTGGACGCCTTTGAGGCTGGTGAGTCTGCGCCTGGCTGGGGATTATGGGAGTTGTAGTAGGCCAAGGGCCACTAGAGCTATATTTTTGGGGAATGTAGTACAATAAATACATCCTATTGTCCAATCTTCCAGCTCTGGGTGCATCTACACAAGCAATTTAACTCACTTTGGCACCACTTGAACTTTCCTGGCTCTGTTCTGAGGGAGTTGTAGTTTTGCAAGGCCTTGTTATGGTATTTTAATAGATTTTAGCAAGGTATTGTTGATTGCTCTAATGTTTAATTCTTTTTCAGTGTTTATATGTTTATTTCATTCTCTTTTATTCTATTTTATTTTATACAGTTATTGATTTTTATTATTTTTATCATTTTTATTTTTGTTTTTATTATCCTTATTATTTTTATTATTATTAATTTGATATTACTTATTATTATGATATTACTTATTATTATTAATTTATTATTCTTATTATTTTTATTATCACAACAAGCATCATATTATTAATTTATTATTCTTATTATTTTATTTTATTATTTTATTATCACAACAAACACCATAAGATGCGTCACCATCATAAACAATAAAAAACACATTCAGCAAATACATTAAAAACATTAAAAAATAAATTAAAAACAATTAATTAAACATGTCAGTTATTACTCGTATTAATGTTATTGTTATTATTAATTTTTATTATTCGTATCCATTATTATTATTTTATTTTTATTATTTAGTGTATTATTGTTTACTTTTATTATTATTAATTTTATATATACTTATTAATTTTATTATCCTTATTAGTGTTGATTATTTTTATTATTATATTCATTGATTTTTCTTACCCTTATTGATTCTTATTATGATTTTTACTCGTATTAATGTTATTGTTATTATTCTTTTTTATTATTCCAAATATTTTTATTACTCTTATTATTTTATTGTTATTAATTTTTATTCTCAACAAATATTGTTATTATTTATTGTATTATTAATTTTTTCTTATTAATTTTATATATACTTATTGTTATTATCCTTATTAATGTTGATTATTTTCATTATCATTATATTCATTGATTTTATTATCCTTATTAAATTTTATTCTTATGATTTTACTTATATGAATGTTATTGTTATTATTCATTTTTATCATTGTGATTTAATTTTTTAGTATTATATTTTTATTATTGATTTTATTGTTTTTATTATTTATTTATTTTATTGTACTTATTAATTTTTATCATCCTTGTATTGTCGAAGACTTTCATGGCCGGAATCCCTGGGTTGTTGTATGTTTTTTTTTGGGGGGGGGGGCTATATGGCTATGGTCTAGAGGCATTCTCTCCTGACGTTTCGCCTGCATCTATGGCAAGCATCCTCAGAGGCAGTGAGGTCTGTTGGAACTAGGAAAAAAGGTTTATATATCTGTGGAATGACCAGGGTGGGACAAAGGACTCTTGTCTGCTGGAACCAGGGGTGAATGTTTCAAATGACCACCTTGATTAGCATTTGATGGCCAGGCAGTGCCTGGGGCAATCTTTTGTTGAGAGGTGATTAGATGTCCCTGATTGTTTTCCCTCTGCTGTTTTAATGTTAGAGTTTTTTTAATACTGGTAGCCAGTATTTATTATTATTAATTTTATCATCCTTATTAATTTATATCATATTTATTATACTCAATAATTTTACCATTCTTATCATTTATATTATTAATTTTATCATCCTTATTAATTTTGTTATTTTTATTACACTCATTGATTTTTACCATTCTTATCAATTACATTATTCTTATTAACTTTTATTATTCTTATTAATTTTTATTAAAGTAAAACAACGACTGCTCACTGGAGGGAAAGATATTAGAGACAAAGTTGAAGTACTTTGGCCACATCATGAGGAGACAGGAAAGCCTAGAGAAGACAATTATGCTGGGGAAAGTGGAGGGTAAAAGGAAGAGGGGCCGACCAAGGGCAAGATGGATGGATGGCATCCTTGAAGTGACTGGACTGACCTTGAGGGAGCTGGGGGTGGTAACGGCCGACAGGGAGCTCTGGTGTGGGCTGGTCCATGAGGTCACGAAGAGTCGGAGACGACTGAACGAATGAACAACAACAAAGTAAAACAAAAGTAAATTCTGGATGGCTCTCTGCCAGGAAAGCTTACGTTGTGTCTTCCTGCACAGCAGAATGGGGTTGGACTGGATGGCCTTTGGAGGGGGGGGGTCCCTTCCAATTTTAGCATTCTATTTATCCCTTCCAATAATGTCAGGTTTTTCAGGAGAGGCTGGAAGTCCATCTGTCAGGAGGGATTGGATGGTGTCTTCCTGCTTGGCAGAAATGGGATGGACTAGATAGCCTTTGGGGGTCCCTTCCATCTCTGGGAGTGTGGTGGAGTCTCCTTCTCTTTAAGAAGAGGTAGATGGCCATCTCTCAGGAGTGGTTAGATTGTGTCCTTCTGCTGGCAGAATGGGGTTGGACTGGATGATCTTTAGAGGTCCCTTCCCTCTATGATGACATGTGCCGGGAGGGATCAAATGGTGTCTTCCTTTATGGCAGAAGGGGGTTGGTATGGATAGCTCTGGGGTTCCCTTTTGGCTCTAGGACTATTCTGCGAGCCCATGGCATTGAGGGATCTCCTGAGAGCATCTAGACCAACCCCATCCTGCCATTTCCTGGCTGTCCATGCTCTATGTATGACCTTTTCCTGGCTGTGAGCTTATGATGGGGACGCACACTGACCTTGGCTTTCAACACCCTTATCAGGCGCTTCCTTTTACGAAACGGGGCAAGCGAAGAATCATGCTGGAGATTCTTGTTCTGAGTTCAGCCGCCGGGTTTTGGCGCCTGCCAAGCGTGTAACCAGAGAAACGGGTCCGGAGGGGGTTTGGCACGGGCCGTGCGCTTGCAATGTTCGTTCCATGCGCAGGAGACAGGCGCAGGACCCAGCCATCGTGACTCAGGCCTGTTTTGCAAGAAGCAAGTCCAGGAATCCCAGGAGGAAAACAGTGTGTGTGTGTGTGTATATATGTGTGTGCATGTGCGTGTGTGTATATATACTGTATATACACACACATACACACAAGTAGAAGGCTGAGCATCCCTTATCTGAATATTTTGGAATATTCTTATATACAGGCTGTCTCCGAATTACAAACCTCTCACTTACAAACGACTCCTTGAGCCTATATACACACACAATAATACATCATCATCATCAATAGGCGTTTCCTAGGTCAGGCATGGGCCAACTTGGGCCCTGCATGTGTTTTGGACTTCAACTCCCACTTAGGCGATCCCTCGTAGTCTGAGGATGATGGTCCTCCAAGTTCGGTGTCCTGGGGGTGGCTTTGTAAGTGACTGTGGAGCCCAATTCTTGACCTGCATCTTCTCCTGCAGTGAGGGCATTGGTTTCCAGGTGGAAGACGGTCCTGGTCGGGGTTGGCCTTCCTCCTGGCACGTTTCTCTCTTTCACCCTCCATTCGTGCCTCTTCAAATTCTGCAGCACTGCTGGTCACAGCTGACCTCCAACTGGAGCGCTCAAGGACCAGGGCTTCCCAGTTCTCAGTGTCTATGCTAGAGGTTGGCTTTGAGCCCATCTTTCAATCTCTTTTCCTGTCCACCAACATTCTGTTTCCCATTCTTGAGTTCGGAGTAGAGCAACTGTTTTGGGAGACGGTGGTCGGGCATCCGGACAACGTGGCTGGTCCAGCGGAGTTGATGGCGGAGGACCATCGCTTCAGTGCTGGTGCTCTTTGCTTCTTCCAGCACGTTGACATTTCCCCGCTTGCCTTCCCAAGAGATTTTCAGGATTTTCCGGAGGCAGCGCTGATGGAATCGTTCCAGGAGTTGCATGTGACATCTGTAGACAGTCCACGTCTCACAGGCATAGAGCAGAGTTGGGAGGACAATGGCTTTATAAACAAACACCTTGGTATCCCTACGGATGTCTCGGCCCTCAAGCACTCTCTGCTTCATTCGGAAAAATGCTGCACTCGCAGAGCTCAGGTGGTGTTGCATTTTAGTGTCAATGTTGATGTCTGTAGACAGTCCACGTCTCACAGGCATAGAGCAGAGTTGGGAGGACAATGGCTTTATAGACAAGCCCCTTGGTCTCCCTAGGGATGTCCCGGTCTTCAAACACTCTCTGCTTCATTCAACTCCCACAATTCCTATGTGTAGCTGGATTGATATGCAAAGTACCTGTGTGCTGAATACATGGAGTTTGCTTTGTTTTTAATTTATGCTAGCCATCCCCTGCCACACGTTGCTGTGGCCCAATCTGTGTATATGTGTTTTATGTGTGTATATACGTGTGTTTTCGTATATGTGTGGTTTTGTAATCTTTATTTTTTGGCTTTTTAAGTCTCTTCTGTTGTGTTTTCCAGTCTTTTATGAGTGATGGTCACTTGTTGGCCTTAGAGGTGTATTTCGTCCAAATTTGGTGTCAATTCGTCCAGTGGTTTTTGAGTTCTGTGAATCCCACAAACGAACATGACATTTTTATTTATGTAGACTAGTCATCCCCTGCCACATGTTACTGTGGCCCAGTCTGGTGATCTGGAA